CAAACAGTGGTTTGGGATGAAGAACTGTATACATCTACATCTTTTGAAGATATCGCTTTGAGGTGGGATGAGGAACAAACCCAAAAAGCATTCAGTTAATGACAACCTACTTCCTTACATCTATAATATGACAAAGTAAAATACAGTCTTAACGCCTCACAAAAGCACTTCAACCCTTATTTCTTAGAGGGGCTTCATTTACACACCTCTTCAAACACAAGGATCTATTTGCGTGGCTTATTTCAACCAGGAAAGTTCAAATCAGGGACAGCGTCACCCACCAGTAAACAAATTATTCAGATACCAGGGAGATAAGATGAAATGTCCAAAACGACAAAATAGTTGGCTTACATCAAATAAGAAGCCAAGCCTGTGTTATGGCTTCCTGTATTTTGTTATCCTACACTGTCTCTATATAAACCATCTGTGCTACACACACTTCAAGCCATCTTTCAACTATCAACAGGGCTGCTGCAGTAAAACAATTACTAATAGATGTATCTTAGAGACAGATTTTAAATCAAAAGGCACAGTGCTCCAGCATTCTGTTATTAACCAAAGATCAGAACAAATCAGTAGAGAATTTTTTCTGAACATCCGTTAGTAACGGAATACAGAGATGAAAGACAGAGGAGGGGAGCAACATTTGCTATCACACTCACCCAGACAAGACAACACACACACAGAGCCTGGATTGAAAAACTACTTCCAAGTGCTCATTCTAAAAGAATTTTGTGACTTTTTTTTTTCCTAACCAGAATCATGCAAACCAAAGGAAAGAACACAAAAAGCTATTGTCATTTGCACTAGCAAAAAAGTGTAATAAAGCATGGTGGAAACAAGTTAACAATGAAACTGTAATCTTAACTGCTAACTGGGGAGCATTAGAAGTTACACAACTTCTCGTAAGACTTGGCACATGCACCCCTCAGCTGTTGAAACAGGTAAAATATATCAGGCTTGCCAGAAAATAGACCTCATCAGTTTTATTTATAATAGGAGTTGCAACAGTTGAGAGCCATAGCCCACTCGATTCACAAGATCTGGACAATTTCTCATATGAAACTTCTGTTCAGAGGAAGACTGGAACATTAGTTAATGCGAGTTCCTCACACAAAAAACAATTCTTAAGTGTGGATTAGTTATGGGAAGAGTATTTAATAAGACAGTCCACAGATCAGTTGCATATCCTGTGGCGAACCTACAATTACTGTCACTCAGGTTAAGAGTATTCACCGGACGCAAGGAAGCAGGAAGAGAGATCCCCAGCGCAGGGATCTTCTGCACAAGAAGCGCAGGGATCGGAGCTGTGCGAGGGGCAGAAGGAACACCCCCTCGCCCTTGGAAACCTTTCCTGCTAGTGTACCTGCTGCTGGAGTCCCTCCGGCCTCCTTTTTAGCTCAGCATCCCCGCTCTCAGCTAAAGCGGGAACCAGAAGCGACAGCCAGTCCTCTCTCTGATTCGCAGTACTGCTTGGTCATACCATAAGTAAACCTAGTTTTTAAAGTGGAAAATAACTGCAAACAGGAGATTATGAAATTTGGACTATTACTGCACGTTCAAAGACAGAGCAATTCTTACGAAGGCGGCACGCACGTGTACTAGACATCCCAGAAGGATGAATCTGTGACATAAAAGTCACGGCAGGGCTCGTTCTGCTGCGTGTCATCACTCCCCACAACAAAGAAAGCGGGGCTGCACCCTCAGTTACGTCTCTGCAGCTGTACAGCCTCACAGTACGACCCGGAGGCAAACGCAGCCCGTTCAAACATAACTTCATCTCAGCTACCGAAATGAGGCAACCAGAACTCGTCTCTGCTCCAAACGCCGTAACAGGCCCCGGGAAAAGGAGAAATTACAACAGCTTGTTCGGTCCGGAGGCGCAAGGCCTCCCTCAGAGCGGACGCAGGTCGGAGACAGCCGGCAGCCCAGGCGCGGGCTGCGCCCCGCAGACCCCGCGGTACCACCGGCGGAGCCGGGGCGGCTGCGGGAGGAAAACCCGCTTAACAGAAGGGAGGAGAGGGAGCCGAACAACTCCCGCCTCGCTGCAGGAGACCGGGCAACGGCGGGGACGCCCCCTCC